GGGCGATGCAGTCGACTGTCCTGCAGCCTTGGAGGTTGCAGGCATGTACTTGGGGCAAAGAGCAGGACTCCAGAACGCCAGCCTGTCTGTGAGGAGTGAGAAATAGAAGAGAGAGCTCCGAGGGGGCCTTTTTCACTTCCCCCAGGAATAGATCATATCTGGAACTCCATCCCTGAAGCCCCGTGATGACTCCCCTTAGCATGGTGAGGGCCCTCAGCCCAGCTGGGCAGCAGGATGCGGATCCGGTTATTAAAAGCCGAGCTGGTGGTTCCCCTCCAGCAATTCATCAGGCAGTGGCCCCCTGGGAGTGATAGATGGGGACAAATGGGTGTAAGTAGGGGGTGCCTCAGCTTCTCTAAGGCCACATCTGGGGAAACTCAGCCATCAAAGCCCTGTGCAGGCTTCTCCACTGAGAAGCCTGAGGGCCAAGGAGATCAAGTTTCGAGCAAATGGTTTGGGGGTGTGGAGAGGCTCTACCACTGGAGACAAGCTGCCCTGTGTGTTGTGTGGGGCCCCAGCCCCTGCTCTGCGCCTGAGCTGGAGAGGGGTGTGGGGTGGGCTCCTCTGATCCTGGAATCAGGGGCAGGAGGTCTGTGAGGGCAGGAGGAGGGGCACAGCCAGACTGGGGAAGCGGGGAGCTGTCTTCCGGGAGGAGCAGATCAAGCACCTTTTAAAGCAGGTGCTGGGGCCACTGCTCAGGGCCAACCGCCGAGACCGCACAACCAGCCACCCCTCTAGGATCCCAGCCTAGCTGGAGCCGGGCTCAGAGAAGGAGGCCCTGTGTTGGGAGCATCCTGCTTGCCTGGAGGGACAAGTTTCCGGGAGTGATCAATAAAGGAAAGGAAAGAGACAAGGAAGGGAGAGGTCAGGAGAGCGCCTGGTTGGAGGTAGGCTGGAGCCAAGCCTGGGAGGCCAGATGGGATTGGAACAGGTCAGGGAACAGGGAGAAGGCGCATGGGGTGAGGGGTGGGGAGTGAGCAGGAATCAGGGCCTCGGAGCAGGAAGTGAGCAGAGTGATGGGCTGGAGCAATTCTGATGAATAAGGTCGGAGACCTGGGGAGGGCTGCCCTCAGGGGACACTGGGGGGCTAGCAGGAGCTCCAAAAGGCCGTGAGACATTCGCAGAGTCCTGTCTGAGTTGGATCTGACTGCCTGTGAGCAAGGGGTTGGTGGAGAGCCCTGTCCTGTGGTCAGCAGCAGAACAAGGAGAGAGAAGTCAGGGGATCTGCCCAGCAGTCAACGTCCTCAGTGAAGAAGGAGGGCAGCACAAAGCCTACATCTCAAGGACACACCATAGTGACAACACTCCAGGGAGGAACGTGCTGGGAACGGGGAATGTGGGGCTCTTACAGCTGGGGAATCTTCATGGCCTTGTGTCTAGTCCTCTGAAGGCAGGAAACCCTCTGTTGCATATTGATGTTAACAGCCTCTTCTTGATTGCCTCCCTTGATGGGGCCTTCACTACTCTGTTAGAGTACGAAGGCTACCTTTGTCCTGAGCTGAAATCTGCCTTCCCTCCTCCAGGTCAGTACTAGCCTAGCTCTCTGGGAGGGAAAGAACATGCTGCTCCCCTGGAACAGCCGGCTACCCTCCTCCTCCTCACCAGTGTCCACTGTCATACGAGAGCCTGGTCTAAATCCTTCATGTTATGATGATGCTGTTGGTGAGGGGGGCATGAGAACTGCAGGAAGGGAACATCAGCTGGTGCTTCTGACCCTCCCACATGGCAGGGGAGGAAGGAGGTAGAGAGACAGGAGGTGGACAGCCACATCCATACTCTTCCCGCCGTGAGCACGGCAGCCAACGACACTGCCTTCCAGCCCACTGGGTGGAGTCAGACTTGGTCTGGTGCCAGAATTAAGCACGTGTGTGTGCGAGGGGCTGTTGGATGTGTATGTGTGAGTGTGCTGCGCCACTGAGGGCACACCCCGAGCTCACGGGCCCGCATGAGGTTGACTTTCTTGGCTGTTTATTCATGGGCTCTCAAGGTGACTGGGCTGCACAGGTAGGCACAGGGGCCATCTCCCAACTCCTGGACTGAAGCTCCTCTCTTGGGCATTCTCTTCTGTGCTGTGGGAGTTGGGGGTGTTCCTGAGGTTTGAGTGTTGTAGAACTATTGGGTTTGCTGTAGGACTCAGAGATGGGAGGGTGGAGAGCAACAGGAGTCTCCAGGCTTTCTGCAAATGCTCACAGGCTTTTGAACATCTTGTTCCAATCGGTGGTTGATTTGCCGGAGTTTGAGTGTCCTGAGGTGTTGTAGTGGTTCTCATGTGTTACTGAAGGTCTGGGGGTCCTTCGGGGCAATACTGAGGTTGGAGGGGTTCTTATGGCATTACTGAAACTCAGGAATGTTGCTGAGATTCTGGAGGTGCTCTGGGAGATCTGGGAGTCCTTGAGGGGATGTTTCTGAGGTTCTGGGGTTGCTGCTGGCCTTCCCTATTCCTTCTGGCCTGCTGTTAGCTTCTTCTAAGCTTAGCACTTTGCCCTTTGAGGATTTGATAATCACAGGCTGCCGAAGGCATGCACGTGGGCCTCTGTTCCTGGATGCAAAAATTCCTCAGGTTTAATCAACTTGAACAAAAACATGAGAGGAAGGAAGCCCTGTCCCAAGGCCTTCATGGGCCAGCTCCAACCCGAGGGGCGTAGCAGCTCTGTGCCAAGCCCAAATGGCAGATGGCCTTCATTGGCTCAGAGTCCAGAAGCTTTTTAGGACCTCCTCCCATATTGAGCAGGGCTTAACCACCCGCCAATCTGTGCCCAGCTGGGAGTCCTGCTGGCTTGAGCTGCTCCTTGGATACTGGCATCAGCCTCATCTGAGTGCCACGTGGGCTCATGCTGGCCACAGCAAGGTAGCCCTGCCCTGACCCCTATGCTGCTCTCTCCTTGTCTCTCAGACTTCCCTTCTTGGCACTCCTGAGACACGTGTAAATTCATTCTTGCTATCATTCCAGATCTTCCATGGCTTCAGTTCCCTGCTCCAGGCCCCCTCCTCCAGGGAGCCTGCAAAACTGCACAAGCCATCTCCTCTTTTCCTTCCCTGCTCCTCAGTCTTTGGCAGTTCTGTCTTTTGAGCACTTTTGCTCTCCAGCCTGCCCTCTCCTGAGGGCAGGGCTGGACATTCCTGGGTATCAGTGCCCCTTTAAAGCCAGTTCCAGAGGGCAGGCCCTTGACTCTGCTGCCCAGGCTTTCGGAGAAATTCTTCAGGGACACATCATTACAATCCTTCTCTTCCTAACACTTTTTGCCTCCTGCCATCTGCCCAGGTAGCATCTTTCCTAATAGCTCAGAGCCAAGCCTCCCATTTTGCAGATGGAAGCTCCAAGCGATTCTAGCCCCAAGCTGAGGAGGTACCTTGGGCTCAAGAAGTGGGCTCACCTTGCAGCTTGAGCCACACGGCTACCCGCTATCCGTGGATCTTCAACCCAGCCTGCCCCTCTGCCCCCACCAGACTGGGCAGGGCAGCTGGGGGCCAGGAGGGGGCAGGTGGGAAGCAATGGGGTCACCTAGGAAGTCACAACCACTCTCTGTGAGCTTCTTGTTACAACTGGTTGCTGGTGTACAGGGAGGGGTGCCTTGAGGGGAGAGTTCACAACTGGAGAATCTCCAGGCTGGATTTGATAGAGGCCAGTGAGATCCATAGAAGGGAAAAGACTCACTCAAGGCCACATAGCCAGTTCCAGGGTTCAAATCCAGCTAGGTGGCCTCCCCAACCAGGCGTTCTCCACTGCCATGCAGAAACCTGGCCCTTACCTCTGGACCTTCCAGCTCTGCCCTGGCCAAAGTACCGGGCACAAGGCTGCCCTCTGCCTGCCAGGCCCACGCCAGGGGAAAAGGACGAAGCTCACCATTTCCTCCCCTCTGCTTAGGGCCTCCTTTGGTGGCCTCTGTGTCTCCCCATGAGGAGGGAGGTGGTATTGTTGGCACTGGGTTCTCCGTGGGGGGCGGGGAAGGGACTGTGCCTGGGCTCGGCTGGGGTCCCTTTCTGCCAGCCTGACTGCAGCCCCTGGGTGGATGGAGGCTCCTTCAGGCAACCTGATTGCCTTTCCTCAGTGCCTGATATGGTTTGGATGTGTGTCCCCTCCAAATCTCACGTTGAAAGTGACCCCCAATGTTGGAAGTGGAGTCTGGTGTGTGGTGTTTGGGTCATTGTGGAGAATCCCTCCTGAATGGCTTGGTGCCCTCCCTGCGGTAATGAGGGAGTTCTCGCTCTATCAATTCATGTGAGAGCTGACTATTGGTAAGCGCCTGGCATCTCTCCTGCTCCCTCTCTCACCAAGTGTCCTGCCTGACCCCCCTTCACCTTCCATCACGATTGTAGGTTTCCTGAGGCCCTCCCCAGAAGCCGATGCTGGTGCCGTGCTGCTTCCTGCACAGCCTGCAGAACTGTGAGCCACATAAACTCCCTTTCCCTATAAGTTACCCAGAATCAGGCTTTCCTTTAGATCAACGCAAAACAGATGACCCCAGTGCCCAACTGGTACCTCCCTCTCTCCCCTCAGGTATCAGCGACATACCACCTTCCCAGTGATGCCTTCCCTGACCACCTCGTCTCAAACAGCCAACTCCCGTCTGTCTCTCTTCTCTTCCCCCACTTCACTTCCCCTCTGGTGTCGTGTCCCTCAAGCCCTACCATACATCAGGTTCCATTTGGTGCAGGGCTTGACTCATCTTGCTCACTGCCAAACCAGCCTGGGGAAGGCAGAGTTAGGCTTCCTCCAAGGAAGAGGATGGTTTCTTTCTTTTCTTTTTTTTTTTTTTGAGATGGAGTTTCCCTCTTTTGTCCAGGCTGGAGTGCAAGGGCAAGATCTCGGCTCACTGCAACCTCCGCACCCCCCCACCCCGGGTTCAAGCCATTCTCCTGCCTCAGCCTTCCTAGTAGCTGGGATTACAGGCGCATACCAGCACGCCCGGCTAATTTTTTGTATTTTTAGTTGAGATGGGGTTTCGCCATGTTGGCCAGGCTGGGTCTCCAACTCCTGACCTCAGGTGATCCACCCGCCTCGGCCTCCCAAAGTGCTAGGATTACAAGTGTAAGCCACCACACCTGGCCAAAGGGCATGGTTTCTGATAGGCAAGGATGTCGAACCCCAGACACCGCTGCCTTGTAGAGGGAGTGGGCTCCCTGTCTGGAACTGGACTCCCATGGTTGGAGGTGGATTTAAAATCAGATGTGAGTTGGTTGCTCCCTAAGGTAAAAGTCTGAGACCCCTGAGCAGGGAAGGGCTTGCTGGGCTCTGGTGTGGGCACGGGGGCTCTGGGAAGCCCAGCTGGTGAACCTCAGGGCACAGCAGCAGCCTGTATAGCACAGGCCCACTAATGAACACTGATCACCAGAACAAGCAATGGCTTTGCCGAGCTCAGTTTCTAAAGTCCCTCTTACCCAAGGGCCAGGCACTGTGCATCAGGGGAAGGCAGGAGGAGGGAAGGCAGGGATAGAGTCCCGCCCTCCAGAAGCTCACATCCGCGCCTGGAAGGCAAGTTTCCCGCATCCCTGGGATCAGAAGGGCCAGTGTGGGTTCCTGCATTACATCAAATAAAGCTCAGGTTCAGCCCTGAGTCAGCAGGCGCTGATATCTCTGTGGGATGGTGGAGAGCAACAGAACCCTCTTCCTGCCAGAAGGGCCATTTGGAAAGAATGGGGAGGAACTCAGGCTAGCAGCGTGCTCAGCCCCTAATCCTTTCCTGTGGGCTTGGGAATTTGAATGACAGCCTCCTCCAGGATTTCAAGCCCTGTTTACTCTGAGACTTCACCCTTGCTATTTCCTCTGTGGGGATCACACTTCTCCCCACCCCCATCCCCTTCCTGAGCCTGCCACCCTCTGCTCAGCTGACTTTTCCCTGCCCTTCAGATCACCATGGAAAGGTTATTTTCTTCAGAATCTCCCCCTACTCCCAAATACTCTTGGGCTAAATTTGGTTTCCCATGGTAGAGACCAGCTCAGCCTGTGCTTCCCTTTGTAACCCTCAGATTTTGGAGGGGATTTAGTTATCTGGCCGTGTTCCCCGTGAACTGTAATGTCTCCTGCCTCAGGGCTCAGGACAGTGCTGGCACATACTGGGTGTTCAATAAATTTAAGTTAAAAGATGAAATGAATAATGTCTTTTTAAAAAAGCTGTTGAATGACTGTCTTAGCTGATAGGGTCAAAGCCCAAGACCCTTGTAGGGTATTGGAAGGACAGAGACCCTCACAGTTTCAGGTGCCTAAACCTCCATCAGGGACTGTGGCCTGAGAACTGCTTTCTACCTTCTTCTGCCTCTCGCCCCTCCCTTCAGGCTGGGGCATGGGTCCTGCTCCTGGGGAGGGAGAATGAGGAGGAGCCCTCCTCCCTGGCCCAGACCTTGCCTTGCTCACCCTCAACCTCACTCCAGGAGGAGCAGAAGGCAGGCGGGGCTCCTCTTGCCTACCCGTGGGTCTGGTTTGTGTTTAAAGAGCTAATTTCCGCCTTGTGGGGGTGAGTTATCTCCTTGTGAAATCAAGTTGTAGGAACAAAAAGGGTTTACCAGTGAGACACATGTTGCCTCCTTCATGGAAACCCTAGGAGAAGGAACGGACAGATTCCCCTTCCCTGCCTCCGCCCCAGCCCAGCCCCAGCAGTTGGTCTCCCTCTGTTGTTGCTGCAATGCTGGTCTCCTGTCTGTGTGGGGCACTGCAGATGTGGCGGGCAGGGGCGTGGGAGCTCTGGGGCAGGCGCTGAAGGCAGGTATGTGTGTGAAGTCAGGTGCGGGGGTGGGGGTGGCTCCTGGCCACACCCTTGCAGCGCTCAGGCCGCCAATGGTGCTGGGGCCTCCTCCCCCAGGAGGGGGGCTTTGTCAAGGATTATGGTGTGTTTCCATCACCGAGGCCCAAAGGGGCCAGAAAGGGGCAGGCTGAGGCTGGGGGAGGGGAAGGGAGCCCAGCTGGGAGGGCCCAGGCAGGCAGTGCGGAGCTGGCTGTGGCCTGCCTACCCTTTCATCTCTGCAACTCCTTCCTCCCTGGGCCTCCCTTCTGGTGTGTCTGTGGGTCTGTCTAGGTGGGCTTGGGAAGAGGGAAGGAAGGGGCGTCTCTCTAAGCAGCTCGGACTGGACAAGCCTTCTTTGAAAATGGTCCTTTGAACAAACGCCTGCTGGTGGTTGGTCAGACAGACAGATGCGCCAGCAGGAGCCCCGGGGCCCCAAGGGGACAGCTATCTCTGCAGGACCGGTGCGATGGGCGGGAAGGGAGGAGGGGACACGAGAGGCCCTGTCCTCCTCCTGTGCCAGCTTGCTCAGGCCCTCAGTCCCAGACGGGCTTTTCCCAGAGAGCTAAAAGTAAGAAAGTAACCTTCAGGATTAAAGAGAAATGTTTCTTTGTTTGGGTTTTCCGTCTTTTTTTTTTTTCTCTCTTTTAAGCCTCTTTTCACATCTGTAGTGGCTTTTCTTTCTCTCGCCTGGGGTCAAAGGAGGAGAAGGGCCGGAGAATGTCGTCCCAGCCAGCAGGGAACCAGACCTCCCCCGGGGCCACAGAGGACTACTCCTACGGCAGCTGGTACATCGATGAGCCCCAGGGCGGCGAGGAGCTCCAGCCAGAGGGGTAAGTGTGGAACCCCCCAACCTCATTCTGTCGGCCATCAGAATGGGCTGATGGCAGAGGTTGCAGCTGGCCGGGGAGCAGCTCCTGGTCAGGGGCTGCTAGGTCTGGCTCTGCCACTCATTTGCTGTGAGACCTTGGGCAAGTCACAGACTCTCTGGGGTTCATTCAGTCTCTGCTTCCGCTACATGAGAACAAGACCCCTCACCCTGATGTTAAGATACCTAAGGCTGGTCACCTAAAAAGCACCTGTGTGATGTGTTAAAAATACAGATTCCTTTAGTGTTCCTTGCAGATTCAGATCCGCAAGGATGGCTCCCTGGGTGATTCTGGCCCATAGCCAGGATGGGGAAGCTGCTGGGAGCAGTTGAGGCAAGCAGACCTGCCTTCAAGGGGTTATTGGTCTCTGTGGTGAGCATTTGGGTGTGGTGTTTCCAAGTGTCAGGTTCTCTGGGCAGGCTGGGGGATTCGGTGAAGGCAGAGAACCAAAGGGAGAAAGCGTGGGGAGAAGTCACTGAGCAAACAGCCACCTTTGTTGTCTTTGGATGGTCTCAGAGGATGAGGAGAGCCTATTCCCTTCAGCAAGAGTGCTCAGGCCAGCCCAGGCGAGGGTGGGAGCAGGGAGGCAGCCCGCCCCCGGGTGGCCTGAGAACCCGGCCATAGCTGCTTTGCCTGGGTCCATTCTACCGGGGTTTAGTCTGGGCACCCTGGTGGAGGAGCTGGACCCCTTCTGTGTCCCCCACCTCCTGCCAGGATGCCTTGCCTGTGTAGGACCCAGAGCCAGTTCTCCCCTGTTGTTCCCAGGCCTGGCCCCATCCCCTACCTCCCTGCTCTGTCTGAGGGTTTGGAGAAGTAGAAAGGTGAGGCTGGGGGTTGCCGAGCCAGATGTGTGCACATCTGTTCTCCATCAAAACCTGAAACTTGAGAAGGAAAAATCCTTGCGTGCCTCCCCAGGGGCTGGGGCTGCGGCCGCGGCCCGGCTGGGCTTGGGTCATCCAGCAGGGACAGAGGCTCCACCCAGGCCTCGGGGAAGGAGCTGTTGTGTGGAGGACTCAGGGTTCTGACCACCTGGAAAATAGCCTGCAGTCAGCAAGGGCGTGCGCCCCACTCATCCTGCCTGACTGACTGAGAGCCTGTGGGCTCCACATGTCCCACTGTGTATGTGTGGGCTGCGAGGGACCAGAATGAGGAGAGGCCCAGGAACCCATGAGGATGGTTTCTGACCTAGGTGAAGGCTCTAATCTGAAGCTGTGTCCTTGGGAGCCTCAGGGCTCGGACACTGGCCGGGAGCCAGGTGCCTGTAGCTGTAGTGTGGTCTCAGAATAAAGTTGTGTGTATGTCAGGCACTGGGTGATGGGGAGTCCAGTCCCTCATGTGGGTGACAGCTAGAAGATTCAGCTCCTTTCTCCCACTGCAGGGCATGGCACCCGTAAGAATAAAGAGATTTGTTTGAATCTACTTACTTAGCCAAACCAATTGAGCTGCCTGCCATCCCCCTTCCCCCGAAGTGGGAGCAGAAAATTGGGAGCTCAGGGGAATCCCGAGGAGATGAACTTGGGTTCACCTCTGTCTGTGAGTCAGACACCCTGGGGACATGTTGCTTCAGAGCTTTGAAGAGCTCTGGAGTGCCCGGTGCCCCAGCACTCTCAGGCTGGAGTTGGGGTGGATGAACACTGATGGCAGTGGAGTCAGCCACAGAAATTTCCTAAAATCCAGAACATTTAATGGTTCAAACATCCTCAGTGGCTTCCCGGGACCTCCCATGCTTGCTGTACCCTCATCTTACCTCACCTCTGGGCTGCAATCACACTGGAGGGCTTGACCAGCCCCAGCCACGCTGCCTGTTGCCTGCCCCTCTGCTTCCTCATGCACTTCCCTTCACCCGGAGCTGCCTTTTCCCCTTCTTTGCCTAAAGAGATGTTAACCATCTTTTATTTATTTATTTTTTGAGATGGGGTCTTACTCTTGTTGCCCAGGCTGGAGTGCAGTGGCGCGATCTTGGTTCACTGCAACCTCCGCTCCCCATTTCAAGGGATTCTTCTGCCTCATCCTCCCGAGTAGGTGGGATTACAGGTGCACACCACCACGCTCAGCTAATTTTTTTTGTATTTTTAGTGGAGACGGGGCTTCACCATGTTGGCCAGGCTGGTCTCGAACTCTTGACCTTGGGAGATCAGCCAGCCTCGGTCTCCCAAAGTGCTGGGATTACAGGCGTGAGCCACTGCGCCCGGCCAGTAACCATCTTTTAAACTCCAGTCAGATGCCACCTCCTTTGGCCCCAAGTTCTCCCTCCTCTGCATCCTTCAGCACCTGCTGTGCCTGTCCCAGGATCAAGCTCACCACCCTCTCCAAGGTCTTTATGTCTGTGCCATCCTGTCTGTCCCATGGCACAAAACATGGGGCCACAAGCCACCAGCCAAACATTTGCTCATTTCTGTGCCACTTGAGATCCCCATCTGGCCCCTCACACTGAGCTGAGAGATCAGATGGGGACCTCAGGTGATACAGAAAGGGCCAGAGGCTCCCCCAGGCAGGGCCCTGGAGGGCGTTTCTGGGGGTGGGAGTGGTTTGGGGTAAGGTCCATAGGAAAATGGTCAAACTACTCCAGGGACAGTTTTCCAAGTCCCTGCTGGGCCCAGATATACAGGTGGAGCAGGACCTAGTCATGCGGGGAGATGCAGGCTGAGAGGGAGGGCTGCCCCGTACACTGGAATGAGAGGCCTTGGAGCTGGAGGTGGGGAGCCTGAGACTGGAGCACCAACTGTGGGAACCTGCTCCCTGCATGGCAGCTACTCAGGACCCCACTTCTACTTTGGGAAGAGGCTGGTCTCCTGGCCAAGAAGCTGTCCAGAGCTGACTTACTCTGCCTGCCCACCAAGTGGCTGGTTTCTTTCCCACCGCTCATCCGCTGGGATTTCCTGAGAGAAAGTGAGCAGGACAGACCGAGCTGACCCAGCAGAGGGTTCCAGGGATCTGTGCTCCCCTGGATAATGCGGCCTTGATGCCTCTCTTCATACAGTGGAGAGTGTGCTGGCGGGAGGCTGAGCCCTCTGGGCAAGCAGGGACTGGCCGCAGCCCAGGCTCCATCTCAGGCCCTCGCCCACCAGACCGCACTGGTGTCACCCATGCTGCCATCCTCCCTCTGGCTCTCCCAGGCCCAAGCTGGGAAAATCCGTAGCTCTACCGCTCCCCAGGGACCCAGTCCTGCCTGATCTCCCAGGGCCAGGGCCAGCCCTGAGCTCAGGACTCCTGCCTCACTCCCTTTCTCCGCCACATGATTCTGCTGGGGAAGTGGAGGGTTTCATTGTCCTCAGTGACCCCTATCTCCCCTGTGGGTCTACCTCTGTGCTCAGCCAGGGTGACTGCAGGACCATTGCCAGGCCATAGAGAGCCTCTGTGGAATTAGAGAAAGGGATCCCCAGTTAGGTGCATTCAGTTCAGCGGGTGCTGGGTTTGGTGAGCAGGGTGGCCTGCTTGTTCCCTTGGCTGAGCATCTTTGTGCAGTGGGCAACCTGCATTGCTGTCCACGGAGGCTGTCGTTGAGAGGGAAGCAGGAAAAGAGACGGACCAGGGGAGATCATTTTAGTCGCAGACCAACCTCAGATGGCAGTGAGTAGAGGGCAAATCATCGGGCCAAACCCTTGACTGCTTGACCCAGGTAGTGTGCTCAACCACAGTTCTGAGAAGAGGTCTGTGAGACCAGGAGCAGTCAGAGGGGCTTCCTGGAGAGGGGAGGCCTTGAAAGACAGGAAGCATCTGGGTGAGCAAGAATAAGTGCTCAGCCAGGCACAGTGGCTCACACCTGTAATCCCAGCACTTTGGGAGGCCAAAGCGGGCAGATCATGAGGTCAAGAGATCAAGACCACCTCACTACTGAAAATACAAAAATTAGCCATGCGTGGTGGTGCACACGGAGGATTGTTTGAGCCCAGGAGGCTGAGGCTGCAGTGAGCCGAGATCGCCACTGCAGTCCAGCTTCAGTGACAGAGCAAGACCCTGCCTCAAAAAAAAAAAAAAAAAAAAGAATAAGTGATCAGGCTGAGCCGGTCCACTCTGTTGCCCCTGGGAGCTTCCCATCTCCTTTAGTCTTATAACCCCAGAGCTTGGCATGGGGCCGGCACATCACAGGAACACGAGGGCCCCAGAATGACCCTGAGAAGGTGGGACTGGGCAGGCTTGTGTAGGAGGGATCAGAGGGTTGAGGGAGGTAGTGGGTAAAGCCTCAGTGTGAACAGTCTTGAACCCCAGACCCATCTGCACACCCAGGGGGACCTGACGCAGTCCTGAGCCAGCCTTCCTTTGCTCTGTAGGGAAGTGCCCTCCTGCCACACCAGCGTACCACCCGGCCTGTACCACGCCTGCCTGGCCTCGCTGTCAGTGAGTCCAACCCAAGTTGAACCTGGCTTGCAAAAGCTACTGCCAGCCTGGCCAGTGGGACCCGTGTTCCCGGTGGGGCTGGTGAAGGGGGGCCCTGGGAGATCCTGGGTGGGGGGAGGTATCTGGGAGTACTCCCAGCCTGGGGGCCCAAACCAGGATGCAAGTCCAACCTCCCAGATGTCTGTCACCCCTTGACCAGTCCCCGGGATGCCACAGGTGTGTGCACCGGGCAGGTAGGGGATATCCCGGGGCCTGAGTCCAAGCCCTCAAACTCAGACCCTCAGGGGAGGCCTGGGCACCCCAAGCCCTCTTCTGTGCTCTCCTTTCAGATCCTTGTGCTGCTGCTCCTGGCCGTGCTGGTGAGGCGCCGCCAGCTCTGGCCTGACTGTGTGCGCGGCAGGCCCGGCCTGCCCAGGTTGGTGCCATGGTCTGGGCACCCCCACTCAGGGGGCGCAGCGGACAGGGTCACTCTGGGAGGGTGGGTGATTTGTTAGGTACCTAAAAGGTAGCTCTGGCTTCAATGACATCCCTACCTCCCTCAGCCTGGGGCTTTCCTTACGCCCACCCAGGTCTCCAGGTTTAGTCAGGACCCCCAGAGGAAGGGGGAGGAGCTTGCACAAGCCCACCTGGGAGAAAGGACTCCAACCCAGACCCTAGGGTAACAAGCCTGACATGACCCAGCTTCAGAGTGTACCTTCTCAGGCAGCCCTCCGTGTGTGGATTGACGTGACCATCCCAATGCCATCTTGACCCTTGTCTTCCCTGAGGGTATCACCTGGACCCTAATGCTTGAAGGCAGATTTATGGGGACTGACCTCTAGCCCCCATGGCTGGAACTTTCTTCTCCTATCTCCTTCAGCCTTGTGACCCGAGAGCCTGCCTGGACAGGCATGATCCTGAGGAGATGGGGCTGGGCAGGCTAGTGCGCGAGAGACCAGAGGGTTGGGCCAGGTGATGGGTAGCTCCCTGGTATAGACAGCTTCGCATCCCAGACCCAGACGGTGCACCGAGGCTGGTCTTGCTGTGCTGGTTTTGTAGGGAACCAGCCTGGGGTCTCCGGTTGGCCCCAGAAAGAGCTTGCCCTGGCTGGGGCAGTGCTTGAGGGAGAATGAACCTCTCAGAGCATGAATGCAAGCTGCAGCGCAGAAGCCGAGGGTCTGAGTGGCTTGCCCTGAGCCCAGAGGGGTGATGCCTGGGACAGCTATGCCCGCTGTCTGCCCTCTGCCTCGGGTCCACACCCAGCCCAGGGCGGCGGCCGTCGTACAAGGATGTTGTGACTCGCTGAGTTCTCTGAAGGTTTGCCAGCTCAGACAGACCAATTAGTGTGGAGGTGGCTGCTTCCTGGAGCTTCCAGGGTGGGCGGAGGGAGCAGTCTTAGGGCTTCTTCCCACTGTATGTATGTCCCAAGTCCCTTTGGCACAGGACCCAGAGCTTGGTAGATAAGAGGCACTCCACAAATATCTATGGAATGAATGAATGAAGGGGTCTTATTCCCCCATCTAGAAAGTAGGACTGACTCTACCTCCTTGATTTATGGAATACAGCCTGGAGGTAATGGGGGTGCAGGGACTGAGTAACTCCTTCCTGCCCTGTCCTTGCCTCTGTGCTAGCCCTGTGGATTTCTTGGCTGGGGACAGGCCCCAGACAGTGCCTGCTGCTGTCTTCATGGTCCTCTTCAGCTCCCTGTGTTTGCTGCTCCCCGAAGAGGACCCATTGCCCTTCCTGACTCTCACCTCAGCACCCAGCCAAGGTACCCACTGCCCCCCAGGCCCTGAGGTTGGTGTGATGGGATGGGAATAGGGTGGGTTCTCGGAGTTTTAAGCTGAGCTCAAGGAGATGAGGGTAACAGGAATAGTTGTCAATGAGATGGGCTACTATCCTGAGACATGACCTCTTCAGACCATCCAGTCTTTACAATGACGCCACAAAGTATGCATATTAGCCCCATTTTGCAGTGGAGGAACTGAGAGCCGGGGAAGTAGTATCTTAAATTGAGTATTTACTCAGGCACCATGCTAAGCATCATATATATACCTTCTCATTTTTCCCTTGCTAATATATTGTGATTATTTCCATTTTACAGGTGGGAAAACTGAGGCTCCAAGATGTAACTTGCCCAAGATCAGAGTTGAGACTAGTTAGAGCCTGGATTTGAACCTAGGGTTCTTGCCTGCTGAACATGCTGAAGGGCTTGGAAGCTGGAGACAGGAGAGAGGCCTGGGTGGGCTCACCACAGGCCTCATGTCTGCTCTTCCAGCATGGGTCTCTCTGCTTGTTTCACCTTCCAGGGGCCTGGAAGATGCTGGGACTGTTCTATTACGCTGCCCTCTACTACCCGCTGGCCGCCTGTGCCACAGCTGGCCACAGAGCTGCACTCTTGCTCGGCAGCACGCTGTCCTGGGCCCACCTTGGTGTCCAGGTCTGGCAGAGGGCAGAGTGTCCCCAGGTACCCAAGGTAACCGCTGACCACAATGGCCTAGGGCAGAGGGGCGTGCAGAGCAACCTACTCAAACCACGGTGCCTCCTTTGAGCTCTGATTCTATGAGGGGCCGCCCTGCAGCCTTCCATTGTGCATGGGATTCCATGCCTTCAAACACATGCCCCTTCCAAGCTTGACTGCTCTGTGGGAGAGGCAGGGAACAAGGCGGCTGGGCCCAGCCCTCAGGAGCTTTAAGTCTAGGATGGGGCAGAGAAGTGAAAGTGGGCAGAGTAGGGGGAAGAGAAAGCCTGAAATGGCCCCCACCCCCAACGCCTGTGTTAGTGATTCCCCAGCTTCCCTTTGGTCAGGCTGGAGAGGGAATGGAAGTGAAGCGTGATGGAGGCCGGCAAGTGTGAAGTCAGGGATGGTCTTAGAGGGACAAGAGGAGAATTCCAGAACCTCAGGACCTTGCTCATTGGCTGCTGGCTGGAGTTGCGAAGCTGTCCAGTCTAGAACCCAAAGAGTGATGGTATAGGCTTTAGAGCCAGACAACCTGAGTGTGAATCCAGCTTCACCACTTCATTCATTCGCTCACCCATTCATTCAACAACATATTTGAAGCACATACTCTGTACCAGGGACATTTCCAGGCACTGGACTACAGCTGTGAACAAGACAGACACAGTCCTTAGCCTCCCAAGAGCTGTCATTTCAGAAGGGGAGACACGATACACAAACAAAATGATGCCAGGTGGTACCAAGTGCCTTGGGGAAACAGTGCCACCTTTCTGAGACTGTTTCTACATCCGTCCATGGAGCTGATAACACCAGTCCCTCAGGGTGGAGGTGAAGACTAAGAGGTTGCTTTGAGAGGGGGGACTTGGTGGCTCTTTTTTGCCACCTAGAACCTGGCACATACTAAGCTCTCAATAAAAGTATATTGAACCAACAAATAAATGAATGAGTATACAAAAGGCCCACCCCCAGGAAGTCCTCAGCCCTGGGAAGTAGGACATAGACTTTCCTGATGCTTAGGTTGAAAACTATATGTAGGCAAAGTCAGGCTTTTGCGTGATTTTCAGAACTGTTCCTAATGCTCCGGGAACACAGAAACAGAAAGAGGTGTCCTTTCCAGGCCTTATTCCAGCCCTGGTTGAGGTGGGTGTGGGGGGCAGGAGGGAATCAAGTTATCTCCTCCTCCTGGCTCCTCTCAGGCCTGTAGTGGTCCAGGAGCATGGGGGAGGGGTGAGCATCTCTGCAGGGCTCAAGAAGGGGAAGTGGGCAGGTTTGTGCTGGGTGGCGGGTTGGGAGCCATAGAGCTGAAGCCTTCCCATGGCCCCCCAGACCATCCTCAGGGCCCAGTGTGAGGTGGGAAGGGCAATGGATTCTGGTTCTTGGCTCGGGGAAGAAGGTGGAAGGTAGTCTGTCTGGGTGTTTGTCTGTCCAGATCTACAAGTACTATTCCCTGCTGGCCTCCCTGCCTCTCTTGCTGGGCCTCGGATTCCTGAGCCTTTGGTACCCTGTGCAGCTGGTGAGAAGCTTCAGTCGTAGGACAGGAGCAGGCTCCAAGGTAAAGGGGCAGGCCTGGGGTGAGCTTTTCCTCAGCACCCAAGACAGCCCTACTCCCCCATATCTGTGGTCCCAGATACATGGCCGTGCTTAGTGTAGGGCCCAGCACAGAACAGATGCTCAGAAAATGTTTGCTGAGACTGCTTAGTCCTCCCTCCCCAGGCAAAGGCTGGGCTGGCCCTTGACTGGCACCCAGGATACCCGCGGCACTGGGTTGTATGAATAGTAGGGACTTAACAAAGCAGAACTGAGTCAGAAGCCAGGAGAGTCATAGCTCTGTCTGTGAAACACTGAGATCCGGCTGGAGAGACAGCCTGGAGCCTTGCGCCTAATCCGAGTTCTGCACATACTGAGATGATTCAGGAAGCACCCAGGGCAGAACTGCATTATGAATCAACTCTAGGTTGAATGTGGTTGAATAATTTCAGATAAAGGAGACGGCTGGGAGGGCTTCCTAGAGGGGGTAGACTTTAGCAAGGGCCTGAAGGACAGGGAGATCTAGAGTGAGGAGAGAATAAGGAGCAGACATTGTAGGCACAGGAAAGAGCATGAATAAAGGGGAAGAGATGGTTTTGTATCTGTTTTGTTCACTGTATTTGCAGTACTGGGTAGGCCTTAGCCCTTAATAGATACTCAGCAAATATTTTTGAAGTTTTGAATAGATGGATGAATGGATGGATGGATGGGTGGATGGGTCAAAGGAAAGGTGTATGGAAGGAAGAATGGATGGATGAATGCATCATGGTAAGAGAGAATTCTTAGAAGATACTTCGATCTTAATGAAAAGCCTTCTAAGGACTTACCATATCAGGCCCTGGGCTCAGTGCTGTGGACTTGGAGCTGATGGACTTGTGTCTGATCTCCAGGAGCTCCCAGTGTGGTGGGGAGACAGATGCAGCACCAAATACCTACAGTGCAATGTGAAGCGTGCAGCGGGTGTTGGGACTGCGGGTGCAGGGGCGGTCCAGTACTTCTTTCTGGTGAGAGAGGAGGAAGAGGAAAGCTCTGCAGTGGCCCTCAAAGGGGAAAGAAGGACAGACTTAGGAGAAAGGCTTAGGACATAGAGGCCAAAGGGCTTGGCTTCTCTTCAGACAGGGCAGGGGAAGGAGAGGCTTGATGGGAGGCACCTGGGCAGCCAGCAGGTAGGTGGTGATGCCAGCTGCTGGCCCAGGGAAGGTGGAGGGAGAAGCAGGTGCTCCTGGGACAACGTGTGGTCCTAAGTGTGTGTTGCTCAAAGTGTGGAGCTCAGCAGAGGGGCTGGGACTGGGTGTTAACTCGGCAAGGTCAGACTGAATCCAGAGAATGAGTGAGATCCCTAGGCAGGATGGAGAGCCCTGGGTCCATTTTGGGCTACTCTAGTCCAAGAAGGCCCACAGACTCCAGGCTCGGCTCCCACGTAGCAGGCAGCGAGTTCTGAACACTTGTAGCTCCTGCCTGCTGAGGCTCACACTCCTCGAGGAAGCCTGTGTCCTCTCCTGTTTACATCTGGCTCTGAAGAGGGAGCGGCCCCCCAGGGCCACGTGGTGCCCGAGGCATGCCCCTTTACCTTCCCTTCCAGGGTTTCCACCACCCCACCCCTCTCTTCATTGCCAGCCTTTCCTCCCAGGCTTGAGAGGTGCAAAATCCTCTTTGGACTTTGGTCAAAGAGGTTTAAGTCTCAAAGGACCCCCATCAGCTTTGAGCTGACCCACTCCTGCCCTGGATCCCAGGGTTGTCATGGCAACAAGTGACAATCGCCTATGTTCTCCCAGTGATTCAGGGCAGGGGCTCGCCCCATCTTCCCATGGACCTCTGCCACTTCACAGGCAGCTTAAGGCCTGGAATGTGGCTTAGACAAATCTGGTCACCCTTGTGATCTCCCTTGCGTAGTAGCAGGAGGAGAAGCCTGAGGGGGTCTGACCTGGAATGACCCCCTCCTGTGTCCTGGCCTGAGATGTGCCCGTGGGACACAGCTTCCCTTTGCCCCAGTTTCAGCTAGCAGAGGCCAGAGGGCTAGGGGTGGGAAGAAACAGTGATGAGATGTGACTGAGCAAAGCAGGTGAGAGTTGGAGACAGATCTTAGGAAGAACTTCCTGGCAATGATGGTTCTTTGACAGGAAACTGGCCTTGTGTTTGTGAGAGAGAAAAGGGAAGCTTTGGAGGGCATGGTCCTCAAACCCACAGGTCAGCCCCCTCCGCACTCACCACCACAGCCATGGCCAAGAGGTTTTTATGGAGCACCTGCTTGGTGAACACTCTAGTTCCCTGAGCCAGGGACCCACGAATGGGTCGAGGCTGGTCTCATCTGCTTGTTCAATTGTCTGTCTCCACAGGGGCTGCAGAGCAGCTACTCTGAGGAATATCTGAGGAACCTCCTTTGCAGGAAGAAGCTGGGAAGCAGGTGGGGTCTCCGACACACCCTCTGTGGGCCAGTGGATCAGGCTGGTTAGAAGCTGTGCTTGGGAAGCTGGCACCGGGCAGCATGGCAGGGGCAGAGGGGCAGAATGACCAGCCTCTGGGGCTGGCCCTCAGGGAAGGGGCTTCCGCTGAGGACCCCACACCTGCTTGGGTCTTTCTGCAGCTCCCACACCTCCAAGCATGGCTTCCTGTCCTGGGCCCGGGTCTGCTTGAGACACTGCATCTACACTCCACAGCCAGGTATGGGGTTGGGAGCTGAGGCCGAGCGTGACAGGGTGTGTTACCCTCCCTTGCACAGAATGGCTTCAGTGGAGGACTAGCTCCTGCTCCCTAGAATCCTTGTCATCAACAGGGACAACTACCAGCTTGGGACAGGGGGAAGACCCTGGCCTGGCCTTGGTCATTCAGAGTCCTGTGGCCCTTTTCCTGGGCCCCTTGGGAGGGAGGAGGGCTCCCGGGCCTGAGTGGTGCTGTTCACCACACTCCTTCCTTTGAGGACTACAGGATTCCGTCTTCCGCTGAAGCTGGTGCTTTCAGCCACACTGACAGGGACGGCCATTTACCAGGTATGTCCTGCACCCTGTACTGCCATCTGCCTGTGGAGCCCTGCCCTCAACCCCCAAGCCTGGAGTAGCTCCGGCCCAACCCAGCTCTCTAGGTGCCCCATCCAGAACCCTGACCAGGTGCTACAGGCCATCTTGGGAATTCTGGCCTACCCAGAAGGGTGGGGGTGTTCACTCTTGAACTCACAAAGTGACTCGGAGCATTAATTTTGGAGGCCACATAAACACAAATTTAAATCCTAGCTCCACTATTTACCTCCTGTGTGGCCTTGGGCAAGTTATTTAACCTCTCTGAACCTGTTAGCTCATCTGTAAAAGGGAGGAAATAGAGTAATTTTCCTCTTTGAGTAATTGGGAAGATTTAGCGAGATAACATGTTTGATAAACTCTGCCTCACCACCTCCAAAAAAAAAAAAAAGAAAAAGAAAAAACAAACAACAACAATTCAGATCCTAGGAGATAGTTACAATTATTCCCCACTTTACAGATGGGGAGAATGGAAGCTCGGAGAGGTGAATTTGACTTGGCCAAGTTTCTACACAGCTAATATCTCAGCGTAGCCTAAGTTTGAATCCAAGTCTGTCCAGCTTTAATTCCTGCACTCATTTACTTTCACAACATAGAAAAACTGGAAATTTTACATTCCAAAGTTTAGATAGATAGATGATGGGTAAATAGAGGTGCAGACACAGTCATCCCTCAGTATCTGAGGTGGATTGGTTCCAGTACACCCCTCCATTCCAAAATCCAAAGGCTCAAATTTCTGATATACGATGGTGTAGTATTTGCATGTAGCCTACACACATTCTCCAGTGTACCTCGTTATCTCTAGATTACTTACAATACCGAACATAAGTGCTATGTAAATAGTTGTCCCACGGCTGGGCGCAGTGGCTCACACCTGTAATCCCAGCACTTTGGGAGGCTGAGGCGGGCGGATCACGAGGTCAAGAGATTGAGACCATCCTGGCCAATGTGGTGAAACCCTGTCTCTACTAAAAATACAAAAATTAGCTGGATGTGGTGGCATGGGCCTGTAGTCCCAGCTACTCGGGAGGCTGAGGCAGGAGAATCGCCTGAACCCGGGAGGTGGAGGTTGCAGTGAGCCAAGATTGCACCACTGCATTCCAGCCTGGCGACAGAGCAAGACTCTGTCTCAAAAAAAAAAAAAAACCAAAAAAAAAAAACCAAAAAGTTGTCCTACGGTATCATTTTTTATTTGTATTATTTGTATTGCATTATTATTTTTTATTGAGGGTTTTTCCCCAAATATTTTTGATCTGTGCTTGATTGAATTGGTTGGTCATGGATGTGGAACCCACAGATATGCAGGGCTGACTGTATGTAGTTATGGTGCTTGAAGGCATGCCTTTGGCCTATTAGGCTATAATTGCACCTGTCTGTAATATCCTCATTTAGAGGCATGAGGACCCTGCTCTGAAGGGGCAGATAAGAACACTGATGGGCAATGGGCATGTGGCTGGAGCCTGTGTGCTGCCAGTTTCTTCCCCAAAGTCTCCCCTGTTAGTACAGAAAACCCTTTCCTGGGATGGGGCCCTCACTGTGGGACTCTTCCAGGTGGCCCTGCTGCTGCTGGTGGGCGTGGTACCCACCATCCAGAAGGTGAGGGCGGGGGTCACCACGGATGTCTCCTATATGCTGGCCGGCTTTGGGATCGTGCTCTCAGAGGACAAACAGGAGGTGGTGGAGCTGGTGAAGCACCATCTGTGGGCTCTGGAAGGTGAGGCCTCCAGGGAGCCCCTGAGGGCTGCAGTGGGGAATGAAAACAGGGAGACCCAAGGTCTATGCCCTAGTCGGCCATGGACACACTGGGGGCCCTTGGGCACATTCCTTTCCCTCTCTGGGTCTCAATTGCCTCATTTCCAAATTGAGGCAGTTGGCGCTTCCAGTTCTGAGCTTCCATGAATACTGAAGGGACATCTCAGCAGCTCCTGCCCCTTGCCTGCTTCTGTGGCACCTTCCCCCACCACCCCCAGTGTCTCTGACCAACTCTCCAGGAATGGAGATGAGGAAGGCCATGGGCTGGGTGAGATGAGGTGGGGAAGGAGGGAGGAGACGGTGATGGGGGACAGTGAGGATTCTGAGTGAATCCTCATGGCAGGGGGTGTGTGTTGGGCAGGGTGCAGGCTTTCTCTTCCTAACTCCCTGTCTTTTGGGGCCATATCCTTTCTCCTTCCCTCCTCTGACAATGAGCTCCTGAAGCAGGGAACCATCCCGACCTTCGCTTCTGTGGTCTGATGCCTCCTGCAGCCACCTACTTACTCTGCCTCCTGGGCACTCCCAACAGCCCTGTGGAGGGGACTGAGAAGTGTCCCCACTTGACACATGGGGAGGGATTTGCCTGAGGCCATCCAGCAGGGCAGAGTGCAGCCAAGAGAACGCAGGGCTCCTGAAGACTAGGCGGGGGCTCTCTCCATCACCTTGGGACAAAGCCCCGTGCTCAGGACTCAGGAGGCATGCACCTTCTGCTGACTTGGGGGCCCCAGGCTGGGACGGACAGACCCCCGGCTTCTGAGGAGTAACGTGATGGTCAGAGCGTGGGCTGCCAGCATTGCAGATGGAGGTGTGGCTGCTCCGCAGCTGTACCTGACCATTAACATCATCCTTATCGCACAGACCTGGGCATGCTGGTCTTGCGGGGGCAGGGAGTGGGGAGTGGGCAGAGGCGCATGGAGTGACCGCTTCCTTCCCTGACCACCTCCACCATCTCCCTGAGCACCTCAGTTCCCATACTAGAGGCTGCCCTGGAACTGCTGCTGAGGCCCACAAACTGGACAGGTGACAAGTTCTGGGTGAGCTGAAAATGACTTCTCCTGGGAGATTTTTCGAGCTGGTTGCAACCTGAGTCATAGGCAGGTGCAGACATGGTCCAGGTCAGTCCACAACCAACCTCAGACCCTTGCACACAGTGACCGTGTAGGTCAGCATCATTGATCCCAGCTCACAGAGCAGGACATTGAGGCTCGAAGGCAAGAAGAGACACATCCAGGGCAAAGGATTCTGCTTCCACTCATCACGCCTTATATTTTTAATTGCATATTGCAGTTTCCAAGCTCAAAGGCTCCCACTTTGGATCTTCTGGGGCCAAACAGAGCAGCATTTACTCTCTAAATTTGCAGATGAGGAATACTGCAGCCCAAGAGGATTAGAGATATGGATTCAAGCAATTCTCCCATCTCAGCCTCCCAAGTAGCTGAGATTATAGGTGCCCGCCACCAGGCCCCAAAGCCACCCCACAACCTGGGCTCCAGTGTCCCTTGGTCTGCCCTTTGGCTAGGGAGCTAATGTCTTCTGAGCTCAGAGCTTCTTTAGGACTGCCACCCAGCCCTTGGACCATAAGCCTGGCATCACTCACAGAGAGCTCAGGCTGAGTCAGGCAAACCAGATTATAATCTCTGTTCCATCACTTACAAGCTAAGTGACCTTGGGCAAAGTGCTTTACCTCTCCTGACCTCAATTTCCCCACCTGCAAAATGAGTGCTGGAGTGAAAAAGGAACACTTGCCCTTGAGGCCCTCAATCACATGAGGGAAGACAGATCTATCCCCCAAAGCAGGGCCCAGAAGAAGGCAGGCACAGGATCCCAGAGGTGGCAAAGAGCAGGAAGATTGTGTGAGTGCTGGGGTTTGGGGGCGCCCAAGTTGGGAACCAATGGAGGGAGAGAGAGGTAGGAGGTAGATGGATGGAGATCAAAGGCCAGGCCTGTGGCCATGGGGGCTGCTAACTTTCACCGCTGTGTTGGCCTGTACACTCACCAGGCCAGGCTCAGCAGGCGGGCTGTTCACCTCCTGGCAGCAAACGGTCCAGAATGTGCCCTTGCTGCAGCCCAGCTGGCTCCAGAAGGGGGACCACAGAGGCTGGAGCTATGCATTCGCAGTGCTTTCTCCCAACCTTGCTTCTGAGAAAAGTGTCCTTGCCAGGGCCCTGGAGGAGGGAGCTAGGGACCGGCAGAAGGGCCTAGGTGTCTGTAGCATCATTTTTAGTCCTGGCTGAATCTGGGAAGCACTCGGTGATTTTAACATTCCCGATGCTCAAACCCTGTGCCAGACCTACTGAATCGGAATCTCTCAGAGTGGGGCCCAGCCTCTATGATTGAACAGCCCTCCCAGTGATTTGTTTTTGTGTGTGTGTGTGTTTTTTGTTTGTTTTTTTTTTGAGATAGAGTCGTGCTCTGTCGCCCAGGCTGGAGTACAGTGGCGCAATCTTGGCTCACTGCAACCTCCACCTCCTGGGTTCAAGCAATTCTCATGTCTTAGCCTCCTGAGTAGCTGGGATTACAGGCACATACCACCAGTCCCAGCTACTTTTTTTTTTTTTTGAAATAGAGTCTCACTCTGTCTCCCAGGCTGGAGTGCAGTGGCACAATCTCAGCTCACTGCAACCTCCGCCTCCTGGGTTCAAGTGATTCTCCCGTCTCAGCCTCACGAGTAGCTGGGATTACAGGCGCCCGCCACCAGGCCCGGCTAATTTTTGTATTTTTAGTACCATATTGGTCAGGCTGGTCTCGAACTCCTGACCTCAGATGATCCACTGCCTCAGCCTTCCAAAGTGCCAGGATTACAGTTCCAGTGATTCTCATGCAAGCAAAGTTTGAGCGCCACTGTAGCAGGCACCCAATGAATATTGGCTGGTTGATTGATTTCAATTCATTGCTGATGGAAAGAAATCATGAAGGCTCTGCCTTTGAAAAGTCCCCAGAGCAGTGGCTGTCAGTCCTGACTGCACACTGAATCACCAGTGTTGCTTTCACAGGCTAAGGCTGGGTCCCACCCACAGAAATTCTGATTTGACTGGTTTGGGTGCAGGCTGGGCCATGGGCGAGTTTTAGCAGCTCCAGGTGATCCTAAAGGCGATGTCAGTGCAGAGACCCACCGCTCTAATCCCTGTGGCTCTGTGGAATTAGCACTCACCTTTTCTGTGTTTGCTTTCCCTGCACTTGAGATTCTGGTGGTGACACGGGCACCAGGAACACTTCCCTGGGCTGACTGATGAGATCAGGGTGCAGGCATCTCAGGCTCATTCTGGATCTGCTTGGAAATGGTTGCACACCTCACTCTATCATTTCTAGCAGCATGGCTGGCTGGGCGAAGCCCTCTCTCTGAGCCTCAGCTTCCTCTTCAGCCCAGTGGAACAGTTCTTCTGTCTAACCTCATGGGGTTGCCGTGACAGTCCAGAGCAAGGCTGGATGTGGATGTAAGGTGGGAGAGTCGCAGCCTGCACCCCTGATATTCTTAAACATCCAGGCTCATTCATGACACACCATCATGCACGCACTCATTGTGTGCATGGCCAGGGAAGGGGTGAGGGAGCTGGGTGATAGCGGCCGCCTCCCTTATTCTGATGGACTCAGGCCACACCGATGTGGACTCACATCCTCTATGCGCTGAACAAAGACCGCTAGTACAGACATGGATGGGGCCTTATGGCTCACATTATCCTGGGAGCTGTGCAGCATAACAGTGTGCCCAGCAGTATATTCACGAGCAAATGGGGGCCTGGGGGAGATGAAGTGCCCTCCTGAAGGCCACATGGCCAAGAAACAGTGAAGCTGGAGGCAGATGCCAGGTTGGATGGAGGTCCCACAGCAATGGAAGCAGCAACAGCAGGGTGAGGACCAGGTCTGCAGACTCACAGCTGGTTTCATCTCTTGGCTACTATATATCACTGGGAAGAATGGGGTGGCCGAAGTCATTGGCTTACTGGATCTGAGAACTGGGGATAGGGCCAAGAGGCCTCCACGTAGAGTTCATTGTGGGGCAGGGGGAACTCCCCACAAGGCACCACTCTGGCAGGGGTTCCGAGGCCCCCAGGAGACTCCAGGCCCTGACCTCTCACTTTGTTCCCTCTCTGCCCACCAGTGTGCTACATCTCGGCCTTGGTCTTATCCTGCTTACTCACCTTCCTGGTCCTGATGCGCTCACTGGTGACACACAGGTGAGTGGCAGGCTCCGGCTCACCCAGTGCAGAGGTGGGGAAGGAGTGGGAGTCCTGTGGGTCTGCAGGGAGGCCCTGGGGCTGGAGGTAGGGAAGGGCTCTGCCAGCCTAGGCTGTCAGGGAGCCCACCTGAGTGTGGCTATGCTGCAGTGGAGGGAGAAGGTGGGGCCGGGTCCTGCACTTGGGACTTCCTGTCTGGTTGGGGAAATGTCTGTGAGTATGAGGGACATAGGGCACCACCAACTCAGGGCAGCTGGTGGAGCTTGTCCCCTGAGTAGGGGCCACCGGATGGGCTGGAAGAGGGAAGGCGGCCTGGGGAAGCTGTACCTGCCTGGGAATGGACGAGATAGGAGGTGAGGACTGTGTGGATGACAGCAGAGGCTGGGGTGGCCCTGCCATGTGAGAGCGTAGGTGAGGGGTGGCCTGGGGGCATGGTGCTCTGGAGAGGTGGTGCGGGTCTCGCCATGCTGCCTCACTTGCCCTGCAGTGGTGAGTGGTGAGGAGCACTGAAGGCCCAGGGCACGTGGAAGGGGCAGCCCGAGCACTTACCCATGTCAGAGAACTGGCCCATGTGTCCTGTACACTTGCCAGGCCTCAGAGCTCCTCCCAGGGGTCTTTCTCCACAGGTCACCCCTCCTTCTCCTGGCATTCAAGGCTCCCCAGCCTGTGCTTGCCTTGCCTCTTTACCAGGTGGTGTGCTGTGTGTCACTCCCATTCTCACTGTTGTTTCTCACTTTTCTGACTTGGCTCGGGTTGAGCCTTCTGCCTGGTTTTGTCTTTCTCGTTCACTCTTTAAGACTGCCCAGGTATCACCTCTTCCAGATATCTTGGGTTAGTGGCCTCCTCCTGGCTCCCACAGTTCTGGGACTCCCTGCTGATGGCTGTGGGTTGAAATTCTGTTGGGAGTTTGGACAGTTGCTGGCCCAGAAGAGGATTTAGGAAGAGAGTGTTGCTTCCTGAGGTCTCTGCCTCCCTGGCTCCCACCCCAGGACCAACCTTCGAGCTCTGTACCGAGGAGCTGCCCTGGACTTGAGTCCCTTGCATCGGAGTCCCCACCCCTCCCGCCAAGCCATATTCTGTTGGATGAGCTTCAGTGCCTACCAGACAGCCTTTATCTGCCTTGGTGAGCCTCCCTTGCCTGCCACACCCAGCCTTGGCCTGGGCCTCACCTCAGACACTGGCCCCAGTTGAAGAGAAGAGTGCTCAGCAAGTACTGCCCTCAGGGTTTGTCTGGGAATGCTCTGGGGCGACAGCAAGAGGAGGGACCCCCCTGCCTTCCCTGCCCTTAAGAAGCTTACTCAGGATGGGGGTACAGGAGCCCTCAGGAAATTGAGTGGGTACCCTCCACATGGAGGTGAACTCTGGGTGCCATCAGATGTTCTCATGGGGGGTGGACCCAGGTCTGGAGGTGTCAAATTCAAAATGATACCTTCCTGACTGGGTGCAGTGGCTCACACCTGTAATCCCAGCACTTTGGGAGGGCGAGGCAGGAGGATCACGAGGGCAGGAGATGGAGACCAGCCTGGCCAACATGGTGAGACCCCGTCTCTACTAAAACCACGAAAATTAGCCGGGTGTGGTGATGCACACCTGTAGTTCCAGCTACTTGAGGGGATGACGCAGGAGAATCACTTGAACCCAGGAGGTGGAGGTTGCAGTGAGCTGAGATCGCGCCACTGCACTCCAGCTTAAGAAAGGGCTGTGCCACAGTTGGCTACCTACAAAGGTGATGAGACCCCTGTCACTGAAGGTATGCAAGCGGAGTTCCATGGATATTGTTGGGGTCTGCAAAGGGGGTCCTGCCCTGAGAGAGTTGGACCAGATAACCTTCCAGGACCCCTACCAGCCCCAAGTTTCTGACTCTCCCCTTGGGTACTGCAGTGAGAAAAGCACTCTGAATGGTGAGGGGCTGTGGCCAGGGTTGCACATCCAAGGGCCTTGTATCTCTCTCTCCATTTCCTTCCATTCTCACCTCCTTGAGGGAGGAGAAGGATGGTAAAGGAGTGGAGGAATTACGAGGACAAAAGTCATAGCATCTCTTCTTGGTAGCCCTTATGCCTCCAGGCCTTTTTATAGGCATCATTCTCTAATCAGTTGGCCAAATTATTTCAATAGACAGTCCTTGGGCACCTACCGTATGACAGGCTCTAGCTTGAAGGAATGCAAACATCAGTTTAAAATGTAGTCTTATTCCCCAGTAACTCAAACTCAGGAGAAACTGGAGGGAAATAACATTTGCAAAGTACTTTGTGATTTTAAGAGTTCCCACAGACATTACCTCATCGGATCCTTACAACAGCCTCTGAGGTGGGGACTATTATCCCCATTTTACAGAGGAAGAAACTGAGGCTCAGTGAGGTAAAGTGACTTGTTCAAGGCAGCATAGCTGGGCAGAGGCAGAGCAGAGATCTAAAACCAGGCCTGCCCAATTCCAAAGCCCTTGGTTCTGGGGGTGGCGGGGGGGCAGCTTTCATAGAACCTGTTATCTGTCCCCCTGCCACTCCCGCCCCTGGCAGGGCTCCTGGTGCAGCAAATCATCTTCTTCCTGGGAACCACGGCCCTGGCCTTCCTGGTGCTCATGCCTGTGCTCCATGGCAGGAACCTCCTGCTCTTCCGTTCCCTGGAGTCCTCGTGGTGAGTGAAGCAACACATGGAGGGCTAGGGGCCTCCTTAGAGGTCTGCTAACAGTGACCACTTCCCCACCCCACTGGCAGGCCCTTCTGGCTGACTTTGGCCCTGGCTGTGACCCTGCAGAACATAGCAGCCCATTGGGTCTTCCTGGAGACTCATGATGGACACCCACAGCTGACCAACCGGTGAGGTGGCACCTGGGCTTGTGGCTCCCTCAGGCCCTCAGCCTTTTCTTCAGCGTCTCTCTCTTTTTGTGTCCTCCCTCCACTGCCATCTATCCCCTCTCTCTATCAAGAAGCCCAGAAGATAGTAGAAAGAGCTTGCCTTACCCATACAGAAAAGGGACAGTGGCTCAGCCCACTCCAAAGTACCTCTCTACATACCCGGCATGGGGCTGGAAGTACCCCCGGGAACCTTTCTTGCTTTGGGAATTGGTACTGCTCTCCCCTGGATCCTCTGTTTCCTCAAAACTATGCCCCTCTCCACTTTGTAGCAAGGGAGTTCCCTGTCAGATGACAAGGCTGTGAGAGAAACTTGGTTCCCGGGGGAATTTGGAATTAGCAGACAGGGGACCCAGAAAAGGGAGGTGGGAGGCATCAGGGTCATAGAGAGACTTAGATGGACCCAGAATTAAAGCCTAGCTCTGCCAGTGAATAGCTGACAGCCTTGGCTAAGTCACCCAATCTCTCTGGGCCTCAGTTTCCCGTCTCCCAGGGTGGTGGGTTGAAAGAGAAAAGGCCTTGCCCAGGGTGGGGTGCACAGGAGACACAGCAGTAAATGGCAGGTGCTCAGTAAACACACAGCAGTTCTGGGCATCCAGGTCTGACACTGACCCTGGGGAGGGGGCTCTGGGGGACGGCCTGCCTCAGCTTTCTTCTCCCACCCTAGGCGAGTGCTCTATGCAGCCACCTTTCTTCTCTTTCCCCTCAATGTGCTGGTGGGTGCCATGGTGGCCACCTGGCGAGTGCTCCTCTCTGCCCTCTACAATGCCATCCACCTTGGCCAGATGGACCTCAGCCTGCTGCCACCGAGAGCCGCCACTCTCGACCCCGGTAAGGTCACTGGGCAGGGCTGGAGGGTTGCTCAGACTACCCAAGCAGTGAGGAAGACATCTTTCCTGCCCCAGGCCTGTGCCAGCTGATCAGTTCACATCGATGTCTGTAGCTGCAGATGCCACCTGTGTGTGCCTGCACTGTGCCTCGTGTGGCCCTGCAGCATGTGCAGTGGATGTGGGGTGTTCTAGCAGGTTCACATGTGCCCATGCAGCAGATGTGCCACGTGCCTGGTGTGTCTACATGCTTGGATGCAGGGTGTGCACGTGCACTCCCTGTGTGTGTGTTAGGGGGTGTCTGGATGCCTCTAGTCCGGCCCCTACTCCCCCAGCATTGCCATCCGCCACCCCACCCTAGGCTACTACACGTACCGAAACTTCTTGAAGATTGAGGTCAGCCAGTCGCATCCAGCCATGACAGCCTTCTGCTTCCTGCTCCTGCAAGCGCGGAGCCTCCTACCCAGGACCATGGTGGCCCCCAAGGACAGCCTCAGACCAGGGGAGGAAGACGAAGGTGCGCCCTCCCACTGGGAATGGGGGAATAGAGCCTACCCAGCTTCTCCCAGGAAGGATGCGTGCCCCTCCCCAGCACACAGAGTGAGCGCCAGGAAAATTCTCACTTCCTCTCTTCTTTGGCTGCCTTTGGTCACCCCTCCTGGTCTGATCTCAGGGTAATTTTTTCCATGATATGAACACACACATACACACACCATATGTGTACATAAAGAGAGAATGAAACAGCTGTCTTGCTAAGGGGCTCCCTCATGGCCCCCACTTCTCCCTTGGGGCAGGGAGTATGACCTCTTCCTTTCTTTCTGCCCAGAAGTATGTATAGCGAGGGGACACTAAGCCAGCTCCAGACCCTTGTCCCACCCAGCTTCCAGTCCATCCACAGACCTCACACCCCACTTCCATGTGCTGCCTGCAGGGGACATCCTAAGCCTCACCACCTGCACTACGCCTGGGATTTTCAGGCTCTCTGCTCAGGTCTGAGGGCCAGGGAGGCTTGGCTGGGTGTTTGTTGAGTGACTCACAGAAAGTCCGTCTCTCTCAGGGATGCAGCTGTTACAGACAAAGGACTCCATGGCCAAGGGAGCAAGGCCCAGGGCCAGCCGCTGCAGGGTTCGCTGGGGTCTGGCCTACACGCTGCTGCACAACCCAACCCTGCAGGTCTTCCGCAAGACGGCCCTGTTGGGTGCCAATGGTGCCCAGTCCTGAGGGCAGGGAAGGCCAGCCCACCTGCCCATCTGTGTTGAGGCACGTTCCTGCCTACCATCCTCCTCCCTCCCCGGCTCTCCCAGCATCACCCCAGCCATGCAGCCGGCAGGTCCTCTGGATCACCATGGTTGGGTGGAGGTCTGTGTGCACTGGGAGCCTCAGGAGAGCTCTGCTCCGCCCACCTGGCCATGGGAGAGCCAGCAGGGGTTTTGAAGAAAGAAACTGGCGGGTTAGGGCCTTGGTCCAGGAGCCAGTTGAGCCAGGGCGGCCACATCCAGGCCTCTCCCTACCCTGGCTCTGCCACCAGCCTTGAAGGGCCTCGATGAAGCCTTCTCTGGAACCACTCCAGTTTAGCTCCACCTCAGCCTTGGCCTTCATGCTGTGGAAGCAGCCGAGGCACTTCCTCACCCCTCAGCTCTACAGACCTCTCTGGGGAGTGGCTGGAAGGCTCCCAGGCTTCACGACTCAGACCAGGTCCCACACCGAGCTGCCCACACTTGAGAGCCAGATATTTTTGTAGTTTTTATGCCTTTGGCTATTATGAAAGAGGTTAGTGTGTTCCCTGCAATAAACTTGTTCCTGAGAAACTGTCCTCATAGCGGGAGGGGTATGCAGGGAAAACCCCGCCTACGCTGTCAGCACATCCACACTGTGCATTGATGGGGATGGGGCTTGAGGTGTTCTGGTCACATGCTGGCCAGACACTGGGTGGAAGGCAAAGAGAACCCAGAGCTGCATCCCTTTGGGTGGCAAAGAGACTGGGGACCCTGTGATGCCACCCCTGAGCCATGTGGATGCTGGCTTTGGAAGTGGGACTTGTTCTGGGTCTTGAAGAAAGGGCAGGATCTGGGGAGGAGAAGCGACTTCAGGAACGCTGGGGAAGCAGTGTGACTCCAGGTGTGGAGGTGGGAGGGGGCGTGTCACATGGGGGGACAGAGCGTGGGCTGTCCTGATGGGAGTAGAATGAGAATACGGAGGGGAAAGGAGGGTGGAGACAGACTAGGGTCTTTTCCCTGCTGGGGGCTTGGTGGAGAAGGGGGTGGGGTATATGAATAAGGAAGATGCCCTTGGTCCACTGAGGGGCTGGGGGCTACAGAAGGTAGGGAGATGTGGCTACCCTACAGATCTAGGTCTGCAGGGCCTTGAGAAATGCCTGCACAGTTAGTGGAGATCAACAGTCCCCTGCCCCACGCCCAGGTTCCTGCTACAGCCTCAAATACCTGTAAAGCCAGGGGTGGGGTCAGGGACCTGAAACCCACATTCAAGGTTGTCCTGAGGAGGCCAAAGAGGGCATGCTGCGATCCCATTGCAGCCCATTGAAAGAGGCTTCCTGACCTTGTTTCAGCAACTGACAGGGTCTCGGCGGGTAGAATCCAGGTTCCCAGAGAAGGGGGCCCTGTCTACATTGGGGATGGGGGAACATCCAGGAAGGCAGGCTTTCTGGAGGTGGTGATGCCAGAGCCAACTCTCAAAGACTGATTTAGCCAAATGAAGAACAGGGAAAGGGTGCCTGGGTGGAGGGAACAGTGTAAGCAAAGGTGCAAAGGATGGCACACCATGGAGCATTAAGGGAACAATTAAATAGCTGTTCCAAGAAGAGGCAGAAAGGGTGGGCTTGTTGGAGGATCGGGTCAGAGAGGCTCTAAGTGGGGAATTCAGGCTTCACCTGGAGGGCAGTGGGGGCCACGGAAGACCTTAAAGCAGGGGAGTAGCTAGTCCACTCAAGGCACAGCCATTCCCTGTGCTGCCTCTGACCCAGGTCTTAGGTCCAGGTCCTACTCCAAGAAGCCAAGCCGCTCAGCTGGGAATGGAGCCAGGGATGCCCAAGTCAGGCTGGGAATATCAAGCCTTAGGCAATCAGAGTCTATTGGACCGTGAGGCAGCACCCAGTCCCACCACATCATTTGGTTTTTGAGGCAACTGAAGCCCAGACGAGGGCAATGACTTACCCAAGGTGGCCCAGCACATGGAATTTGGCTCCATCCTGCTGTTTTCCACCAGACATGAGTCATTTTTTTTTCAACTTTTATTTTAGATTAGGAGTCATTCTTGATACATGCTGCTGGTGACATCAGCTCAGCAGGAGCTGCAAGTGGATGAGGGGAGAGTGGGCAGGGGGAGGTGCTGTATGTGGACCAGGAGGGAGGGAAGGGGGCTGGCCAGCAGCCAAAGCTCACAGCTGCTACCCCAGACTCCTTAGCCTCCTGCCTCCACTTTGCTGAGCTCAGCAGTTCTGGGAGCGCTGGACAGAGGCCACAGAGCCTCTCCCTCTGGGCCATTGTCTCTGCACGCAGCATCCTCGATCTTGAAAGGGATAGGATAGAGGCAGTAGGAAGACATATCTCCTACCTGGCACAGATAGGAGGTTGTGCAGAGTCTCCAGGTTAGGACCTCATCCTTATGCTCCTCATCTGGAGAGGCTGAAGGTTGCTGTACGCGTGCGCGCGCGCGCGCACGCACGCACGCACGCACGCACGCACACACGCACGCACGCACGCACGCACGCACGCACGCACACACACACACGCACACACACACGCACACACACACGCACACACACACACACGGCCCAGGCCAGTTACTGATCCACCTGCTCCGTGGGGAAAGATTCCTACAGGGAATCTGCAGTCCTCATTTGGACTTACCATTTCTTCTTTGGGGGAAGGATAAGTACAATTCATTTCCCCTGGCTTCTCCCTCAAATATGTTCTCTTGTTCCCAGTCTCTCTGGGGCTTTCTCCTCCTCTGTCTTGTGTCCCCTGTTCCTCATCTGTCTCCTCCATCTTGCCCCACCTGTCCCCTCTTTCCTCTTCATTCCTAACATCTCTTCCAGGAGCAGGACAGGGAAGAGGAACTACCACCCAGGCACCTCCATTTCCTTGCGCCTTTCCAAATGCCTCTCTTGAAGCCACTGCTGACATCAGGCGCTGCTCAGGGTAGCCAGCCACCCCAGGCTTCTGCCCCCACCTGTCCTGTGGGATGGTTTGGAGGAAGGGACTGTCTGCAGCTCAGCTCACTGCAAGGCCCAGCCCCTGACACAAGCACTGGGTCAGCCCTCCTGTGCCTCCACAGTCTGTTGGGGTCCCAGAGGCCCCTGCCACTGTGAGCAGGCAGGCTGGCTGCCCTGACTCTTCAGCTCCTGATTCTATCTCCCAGTAGGGGCTCCTAGATCCAGACAAAATTCCAGGCAGACATGGAGGGGCATCAGAAATGCTATTTATTTCTCTGCTGCTCCCAAGCTGGCTGGCCTTTGCAGAGGAGCAGGCAACAGATGCATAGTTGGGGAGAAAGGGAGGACAGGTTCCAGGATAGAGGGTGCAGGCTGAGGGAGGAAGGGTAAGAGGACGGAAAGCCATCTTGGATCCCCACATTTCAGTCTCAGATGAGGACAAAGGGACTCCCAATCTCCCAAGTCATCAGAAAACACCAAGGAGCAGGAGATTGAGCAGGCCCCGGGGAGCCTCAGAGCCATACTAGCCACTGTCTACATCCCATCCTCCTCTCCCATTCCCTGTCTGCTTCAGACCACCCCCCAGCCAAACCCCAGCTTCATTCCCCCAATCCTAGCCCTGGCCAGCTTGACAGTCACAGTGCCTGGAATTGCACCACTGAGGCTTCTCCCAGTTGGATTAGGGCATCACCCTGTTAGCATGCTGCCCCTGAGAGGAGAGCCCGGGCAATGCTGTTAGCAGCAATGAGCACCGCAGACAGTGAGTTAGGGGATCAAATTCTATCCTAGTCACTAGTTTGGAGCAGGTCTAGAAGTTGGGGGTAGCAGGTGCTCTAGAAGAGATTAGAAGGAGAGGTAGGAAAACGTGAAGTCCCCCATGCAGGCCTCAGGAGTTGCCAAACCCAGACCCCTGCAGCACTTAAAGGGGCATTGGCAGGGGCAAGGGGAGGAGTTAGGAAAGCCCTCGGGCTGTTTCAGCCCAGCCTTGGTCGGGGTGGGGCTAGAAGGAGGTGAGGAAGAGGAGGAGGAGGAGGCTTTGGCCCAGCAGGAGCAGGCCTGGGGGCAGCTGCCCAGGGACCCCTTCTGCGACTGCAGCCTCAGGGTTCCCAGCACGGCTGAGGTAGATGATGACCACATTGTCCTCTGGCCCTGATGGCTGCACCTCATTGTCAACCGTATAGCAGCCCTTTCCCTCAACCGCTTTGCCATGGAACCTGCGACCTAGTGTGTCCTCACCACCCTCGCCGGGTGTGGCCAGTGCCACATCCACTGAGCTCTCAGCACTGCCCAGCTCATTGGTGGCCAGGCAGCTGTAGGTGCCTTCCTCCAGCTTGCCAAAGTCGGGGATAAGCAGGCTGCCATTGGCAAAGGCCTGGAAACGCGGCTGTGAGCTGGCCGCAGGGGTGCTGGGCAGGGCACGCCCGTCAGTGCCCACATTGGGGCTGGTGATCTCCACAATGCCGCTGGGTATCTGGATGTGCCAGTGAAGCTGAGGGGCCGGCTGCCCATCCACATCACAGTGCAGCGCCAGCACGAAGCCAGGCCGCAGCTCGGCACCATCCTGGCTGGGTTGGTAGCTAAGCTGCACTGAGGGCGCCGAGCATGGCAGTGGTGGCAGGCGGCTCAGCGGTGTGCCCTTGAGCACATGGGGTGAGGTGCAGGCGATGTTGTCCTGCTCCGGGATGGACACTGCTGTGGCCAGGGCCCATGTCTTGAGCCACATGATGCCGCAGGTGCAGTCGAAGGGGTTGTCGTTGATCTGCAGGTGGGACAGCGCAGTGAGCGGGGCGAAGGTGCCCTCGGCCAATGTGTGCAAGCGGTTGTGGTTGAGTTGCAGTGAGCGCAGAGCACGGAGGCTGCGGAAGGCGTCGCGGGGGATGAAGGTCAGCTCGTTGCTGTCCATCTTGAGCAATTGGAGGGCACTGAGGTTGTGCAGGTCGCTCCAGGCAAAGTCAGAGATGAGATTGTGGCTGAGGTCCAGGCTCTTGAGATGGCTCAGAGAGGCCAGGGCGCCGGCGGCCACCGTGCGGATCTCATTATGTGCCAGCCACAGCGACTGCAGCAGGGGCACCTCCCTGAAGGCACCCTCTGGCAAGCCTGGCAGCCGGTTGGCCGACAGGCTCAGTGTAGTCACATTGGCAGGGAAGCCAGGCGGCACAGCCTCCAGGTCGCGGTAGGCACAGTCGGCGATCTGGAAGCCATACTTTTCCCCACAGTCGCAGGGCTCAGGGCAGGCCTGTGCCAGGCCCAGGAGAACCGCCCACCAGAGCAGATGCAGCTCCTGCATGGTGCTTCCTGCAGAGAAGGGCATGTCACCCAGGGGATCCTGAGAACCCGCCAGAGGGACTCATTCCTCCCACAAGCCCAGCCAGAGCTCTTTCCCATCAGGATGCCCTGTCCCACATAACCCAGCTAAAGCCCAACACCACCTAGCCCACCGCCCCCATCCTACGGAAGGAGAAACTGAGGCCCAGAGAAGGGCAGAGACTTGCCCGAGGTCACGCAGCCAGGCAGGACGAAGACAGGATGGAAGAGGACCCCAGCTCCTCCTCCGAGTGGAGAGTTCTCCCTGCCTCGGCCTGTTCCTAGCTGACTTTATGACTCGAAATCTGTTTTCCAGCCACCCCCCTCCCCCAGCACTT